TCAGAGACCATTTTTTGTATCTAATTAAAAAAATAATTAATAACAGAATAAAGTTAATTAGATTATATTATTTAAAAGTCAAAAAGTATAGGTATGACTGGTCGAGTGACTGAATGAATGCTGGCAAGCCAAAGGTGCCAGAAATAAATTTAATTAAAGGACTTGAAGTTCACAAAATACAATAGCTAAATAATTCGAACTGAAATGATAATATGCTCTTAGAAAATTAGCAAGAGAGAATACGCCAGGTATCATCGTAACAGTAGAATGAGCAAGAAGCAGCATCAGCCAGTAGTTTCCTACTTGCTCGAAGCAGGTGAACTGTTAAATAAGGAAATAGCAGAATCAGGGGACTACTATATGTGGTGAAAAGGGTTGGGTTGAGAAAACTTTTGCTAGCAAAAACTATTTTTTGAAGGGGAAAGAGTATCGACACAATTCTATTTCATCAGTTCTTTATATACTGATTGTAGTAGTGGTTTTTTATTATATATCATGTGTAAATTTATGTAGTTATCATTCGATTGATTGCTCTCTGATCCCGACCCATATCTTCACCGTGCCTGATCAGGGTTGGGGTTGTAGCACGTGATATGTAACCTGACCATTTCTTTTCATTCATTGACTTTTGTCAACACATATTAAAAAATCTAACCTAATCTAATAGCTTTTATTTCTAATAACAATACATTTTTTTATTAATTTTAGTTACCTTTTTGTGAAAGATACTACAGTATTTCAATGATTGCCATATAGTCGATACAAAAACTCACTTTTGTGTATAGTTTTCCATCTCAACTGCAAGTTCATCAAGATACAAATCTACTTTTTTCTTAATGATACGTTTTAATAGGTCTAGTTCTTCACAGGTAAAGGTTTTTTTGCATCCAAGTTGTCCTTTAAATTGATTTTTAACACATCTCCACTTTTGAAAAATACTAGCTTCATTTATAAAAAGGAGCATAGTAATGTCTTTATTACTATAACCTTTTGAATTCAAATAAATGACTCTCTATCTTAGATCTTCACTAAGTTCCCATGGCATACTGGATTAGAAAATAACTTGAAAATATGAATAAATGCTTATTAGCGAAAGTGTAAGTAATTATTGTCTGTATTTAAAAAAACAATTTGGAATTTTGTAGCTAAAGTTTCTTATACTTAAATGCGACTTTATACTGCTTTTAATATTTTAAAACTAGAAGATTGGTCTTATAATGTTTCTTAAAATATTTTTTAAAATATAATATTTCTTAATGTTTTTTAAATGCAATGTTCCTTAAATATAATATTTTTTAATGTTTTTTAAATGCAATGTTCCTTAAATATAATATTTTTTAAATATAATATTTCTTAAATAGCCCCATTCAGTGATTAAAGCTCTTTTCATTAGTACATATATACTATATTTACCCTAATTCAGAAATACAGATACTTTATTGGGTTTAGTAAAAAAAATTTGAATTGTTACATATATTCAAATATAATACGTATACCGTATCATACTACTAAAAAAAAATCTGAACTGCTAAACGGGGACAATATAATGTTTCTTAAATATAATATTCTTAAAATGTTAATGTTTCTTAAAAGATTTGATATTTTTTAAAATATTATCACAAACAAAAAGCGTAAAATAACTTTTCAAAATATAATTGTTTATATTCTTTCTCAAGAAAATAATCCCAATTTATTAATATAATATTAATATCTTTTTTTATTAAATAATTGTCTAGACGCTTTATTATACAATAGTTATTTACTAGTTTTTTTACTCGCTTGGTTTGTTCTAATGACTGGAAGTCTCTCTACTAATGATTTTACCTAAAGTACTTATAACAACATAGTTATAACTAACTACTTTAATTATACATATAAACATGTAACAAGTATAATTGATACATACTTTATTCTCTTTTACTATATATATACAGAAAATTGATATTAAGAAACCAATTAATATAATTAAAATAACTGTCAAGATATTTGAATTTAAAAATAGCAAAAATACAATAAAAGATATATTTCTTATAAAACCTACCCCAGTATATTAATTGCAGATATCGATTCAATTGATCTTTTACTATATTAGTTTATTAGGTAATCTAAAGGATAGATTAGCTGAGAAACAAAAATTCAGCAGATTGGCCCAAATTATGGGTTGGATTTAGACCATATTAAAAAATAACAACAACTAACTGTATTACACCAAAATTATCATCTGGGCAGCTTTACTTAATGAGTAAACTATGGTTTCATTAGTAAAATTTTGAGTGATCTTGGGGCAAAATTAATCAATGCCAATACATTTTGATACATAATTTAGGCTGATCTGCTGAATTTTTGTTTTTCTGCTAATCTATCTGATCTAAATATTTATTTTAACATTAGAATATTATTATAAAATCAGCCAGGATCGCTCCTGAAAGTTCGGGTGATGATCTACATTTCATTTATAGGGTGACAATTCAAAATGTCGTAGCAGCCGTTGATAATCAAACATCTATTTTGAGTAACCAAGAACCTGGGCATTTTATTTAAAAAACTGTTTTAAAGTAATAAAAAAAAAAAAAATTTGATAGCTTCGCTCATTCATATTATATAATGAAATAAAATATATATAGCGACAAATTCACAGATCATTACTCGAACTTCTGAGGAGCAATTCTGGCTAATTCATTATTATACATACATAATAATTCTCTTCCAAATCGATTAAGTAGGATAACACTAAAATAATGATATAATAGATTTAATTTTTAGATTATTTGTTATAGATTCGAATAAGAAGCAATAGGGCTATATCAAATACAACCTATTTTAGTAACTTTTGCTATAAGTACTTCCATATATAAATTTTTATGTTATTGTATTATCTTATAAATATATAATTTTAAAAAATAAAATAAACTAATCAGTGTTGAAAATCCTTATTGAAGATAAAATTCTTGATTAAATGAATTCATAAAAAACGAAGCACTGCTGATGGGTCAAACCATATTTAAAAGTTAAAACTTTATTGCAATATTGCTAGTAAGATGCAATTATCTTATAATAACAATAACAAATCAAAATAAAATCAGATTAATATGAATTTTTAACCTATTTAATTTAAAAAATTATAAATTTTTTGGGAATACATTTTTAGGCTTTTTTAGGATTTGGGTTAGGATTTAAGGTTAGGATTTAGGGTTAAAATTAACAAGAAAAGAGTATAAGTAGATTTTATAAGCTTTAAAGAAAACTTTAGATTTTATTTTAATTTGGTTTGCGGCAATAATCATGGTTTGAAGTTACATGCTTAATGAGATTTTATGTATTTATTAAAATCTAATATTTTATTTTGTTATTTTTTTCTAGATTTTATTTTCAATAATAATAAAATGTTTTATTTTTATCATTATGAGAAAGGTTTTATATTCAGATTTAAATCTAATAGGATGTTATGAGTAATATTCTGGGCTGTGAGATATTAGTAAAAACTATTTTTGCTTATACGTATACAGAACAAAATATTAATGATTAATTCTTCATATTTTGATAGCAATTAGCTAGAGGTTATTAATAGGATATAATGAATTCAACTAAATCAAAATATTTGCTTACGGATATTTAAATTCATGTAATTGGATAACAATCACATATATTTCAAATATCAATACTCGATAAAACTTGTATTTCATATTTTTTCAAAGATTACTTTTTATGGAACAGAAACAAAGCAATATTGTTGAGCTTCACAACTTATTCTATTACACTTAACACAGGTCAAATATATGAATAATGGAATATACCTATATAGTTCTATTATTTTGCCGATATGCATAAGAGAGCAATATAAAAGAACCAATAATAGTAAACTAACAGATATCGATATTTTAGTAAAATAAAATATAAATATCGGTTATATAATAATAT